CTTAAGGTTGCTTGGGAGGATAACGGTGTTGTCGGTGGGGTAGCCGCCTGGCGTATGGGCTGGCTTGGGCGTCGTGGCGTCACGATAGCTCGTGGAATTGATCATTGCCGAAGTGGTCAAATTGAACAATGTTTGAGCTTTCGGCGGGGGGATCGTTTGGGGGGCGGATGTTGTGGTTAGAGGTTGTGCGATTGTGCCATTGAAGGTGTTGAAGCTATTGTGCAATGAGATGTGCACTACCGCATCTGGCTCTCTCTGGCGAGACCGATTTCGTACCATCCACCCTGTCGATTATAAGTGGTTTGTACCACTAGTACGACTTACACGATCGCGTCCAGCCGTGGAAAGTCGGGTACAGTAGATTATAGATGATTGAAAACTAGGTACATCGCGAAACCAGGCGCCATTATGGCAAACGTCCGCAGGTCATCCTTCGCATCATGTCCAGCTCTTCTTCGTTGGGAATAAACCATTACATGTTGTTGTACGCTACCGATAGCGACAAGGAATACATCGAGCAACTACATGATAGTATAGGACGAATTTCTACTTGGGGGCGCCTTACTATTCTAGCAACCATACAACGTTCGACACACATGAGACTTTCTGCATGACGACTCTTATCAAAACTTCGAAGTATCTTGGTTTCATTGATCGTGTTTCTACCGAGTGTGTGAAGATGGGCATGGGTTGAAAGGACAACTAAATGTAAATTATCGAAGTTGTAGATGGGTCGGACTGCTGAGGTCCGGCCTTCCCATCCAGCCCGTTACTTTGTACAAACTTCAAAATTCCTCAATTGAAAAGCACCATCCACAAACTACTCCCTGTGAACCGTAACTGGAAGATTCACAGGGAGATTGACTTTTGCAAAATCACCCTATTGTCATTGTACCCAAAATTTGGACTTTTGTGGTGAATCGCTATCGATCGATTCTTTGTAATAAGTCACACACTAATTTGGCGTTGATGATGGTTTACTGCAATCTGATTGGCTAAATCCTACTGCCGATTCTTCTGTATTGGTTGCGTCGATTCATTCTCCAGTTTAGCATAAACACAACAATAGTATTGCGCAAAATTTACATTGACGCGACCAGTGATGTGCCGAATTTTATACTTGAAGTAATTATGGATTAGGATTGTGTAAAAAACAGACGAGCAGACTGGAATTTGTAAAATGATAAAGGAATACTATATTTTGAACAGTAATAAGATATTGCGGTTCTGTGCTTCACTTTCTCTCACCACGTGGCAATCTTCAGCAGCTGGGTCAAACTCACACCAAAATAAAGGCAAGTTCCAGGCCAAGTACTTTCCCTGCATAAGCTTAGTATGGGCTCACCATCACCATTTCACAGAGAGGCAGTTTCTCATTTTACAATTTTACTCCCCTGGTGCCCATTGCGGGTGCCTGCAGCGTAATGTTCGTCACCACCAAGTGCGCCTGCTGTGCCCAGGCTGTACTCCTTCTCTACAACGGAAGTCCGTAAGGGGGCAGGGTTAGCCAGTGTCAAGGTGGGCACGGTGATTTAGGAAACTTGGGATATCCCCCAAATATTAATAAATATTATTTTCTCGTCTTGTGTTCACATTAATAATAGCAATTAATATCCTATCACCTGGGCCTTATCAAATAAATAAGAACGATAAAAGGAGGAAAGTACAACTATATATTTGCCAATACATAATCGACATTGGATTAAACAAGAGATGCACCAATCAGAGTCCGCGGCACTGACGTTTGATTGGCTTATCCCATGTGATAGATTTTTACAGCTGTTAGCACCTCGACAAAAAGTGATTAAAAATACTCCATTATAAATTTAGCTACTCGGCGCTGCTCCATTGGACAACCGATACTTTATTTAGGTTTAATGTATTGTAATTGGAATTCGCACGACCGCCATCGTACAGATACTGATTGGTCAAAATACTAAATTCCTTGGATATGATTGGCCAATTGATTTCATGCCAGCGTCGACCAAGACTTTGCCCAGAGAGCCTCGCCATGCTTACGAGTGCCAAGTCAAGGTTCATATCGCGGCCAGTACATCTAAGTGTATATATGTAGAAGTCATGTATCGAAGTCGATACCGCATATCTCTTCTGCGCTTACATAGAGCCTCCATTCTACGAATCATTACGTCACTATACTGCGTTTCTGTCTTTCGCATAAGGCCGCTTGCTCTCATGTAAAAGATGTAATCTTGCTCAAACTCCTACCGGTACAGGTTGCTCACATTTGTGTGGCTATATATCGGTAAATTAACGTTAGCGTGCATTGCGAGCTGCATGGTAAATGTCCACGATAGTGTTGTCGAACAAGTTTTCAACATCCACCTTTTATGTAGTAAGTATGGCACGAGTGTTGAGAGCATTCAGTTGTAGAGTCAGCCTCCAAATCGAGTTATCGTCCACGACAACCAAGTGAGGAAGGAACGGAGGATAAAGAGCAAGTTAAATGCAAAGTGTATCAAAACTGACATATTTTGGATGTCTAGTCTGCCGCCCTATTGCAGGCTAACGTTATGCGCTTTCCTGCAATAGTCAAATGTGGATCTCAATTCGGAGTCAAGCCGACCATGACATGGTTTCTATAGTTTGGTTTCACAATGTCAATTGCAAGCTGGGCAGAATAATAGCGTAAAACTGTGCTGTGGAAGTTGAAGTATGTACTCTCTGCCAAATTATCAGTACTGTAAAACCAGAGTATTTACAGAGCACTTTACTAACCTACCCGACCTGTCATTTCAACGACATACATACCGGTATACATACTGTATTTCACCACATCACGTTAGTCGCATGGCATTTCTATCTCCAAATTGTCGTGGCTGGATGGAGTTTGACCACCTTTGTGGTTTTGCACATTATAGCCAATAGAAATGCTTAGCTTACAGCCTGAAGTGCGTCGTGCAAATTCGATTTATATCACGTCAAATTGAAATATCTTGATATTTGTATTTACGGGTTCATAGTTTCTCGATGGAAACGGAATTTGCCCGACGCTCGTCGTGCACGAAGCCTTATACATACTTCGAAGTACTGTAATTGTAACACTGTAAAGCACATTCTCTAGAAGTACTAGAATGCGATTGAGTATGTACATTGTATATTTGAGTGCGCAAACGGTAGCATACAGAATGCGCATTATCTATGGGGCTCGGAGGGTCAAAAACTGTGGAGGGGTCTACAGAAGGACATCAAGTGGGTGCACATCGCTGCAGTTGCAGCGATCAAAGCCAAATGGCAGCGTCGTTGATGGTCAGCATCTCCGTTCTACAAGTGCTGTTGTGGTCTGTGGCTGTCAGCCATGCTCCGCCATGACACACAGGGGCCCTGGATGGGGTCCCTTGGCGCCAATACTGTGAACGGATGCGTTAGATACAATTTAGTAGTACTAGTAGTAGTATTAGGAGCTAGTTGAAGTGTCAGTTGGGAGTGGTCACCATGGTCAGCCAATCAGTGGCCACCTGGGACCATCTACCACTTCTACAGAAGTTCACTCATAGTTTTGTTCTGCAACGGACATAATAATCAAGTGCGTGGTTGACGGGAGGTGCTCCCCCATTTGGTGGTTTGTGTTGGCGCAGTACGGGAAACAACACAAAGTTAGCTTTAGTTCCAGTTACCTACAACTGCGAGACTAAGAGCAGTGACGCGATGCCGAAACACGTCCCCGAAAGACATGCGACCGGCGCCCCAAGGTAGACGCTCTGAATGTTTGAAGCTGAACGCGGTGACCGAATAGGAAGGGGCAAAAATCGAAGAAGGAGTACCGACAGCGGAGCTGGCGATGGTCCCAGCCAGTGGGACCCCGACCACGCAGCCGGTCGAAGACGAAACCAAGGAAGAAAACCCATCACCCAACGAAGCAAGCGATCGATCGGCGCCACATTCAATGCCCAAGTCGTTAGAAGGCCATTATATCGAGTTGGACAAGTATGATGATGATAAGGCCGATCTGGTTCGACATCAAGAACGCCAACCAAGGCGGCTAAACCGTATCGACCCGACGGCACGCCCGATAGTTCCTACGACGATGACAGCGAAGACGAGCGTCGGAAGGCCAATGCGGAGCGACGTCGACGAAATCGCGAAGCGAAACCAAAGAACAAGAAAGTCGACTACGTGGCCCAGGCCAAGGCTAAACAAGCGCGTCGACTAACAGCTGCTTTTGAATCACCCGTGTGGCAACCAACGGCGCAGGAGTGGACAACACAACCAGGAAACTCAGGATGGACTCCAGTGAGTGGTCAACATCAGGATGGAACTTCACTGGTGCTCAAGGACATCGAGTACCCTCCCATTATGACTGTTGACTGGGACTCTCTTGTGGCCTGGAAACGCAAACGTGACTGGTATGAAGAGAAGCTCAAGGCTAACGCCCAGAGAATGCGACATGATTGGCGCGCTACAGCCGCCCCCTGGCTTGAATCAGCGGACCGCAGCATGGTTGAAGCTGCTTGCCTGTACCTGTGGGACATCAACATCGATGATCTGGATAAAAGTAAGTTCCGCGAGCGCATATTCAAGGTCATTGGAGAACCGGCGAACAAGTGGACCGTCACAAAGGCCGAAATGGAGAAACAATGGAAGAAATTGCGTGTGGACCCCTTTGGCGATGTGGCAAGTCGCGTGGTTTCCTTTATGGAGCGAATGAACAACATCATCGATACGACGGGATGCAAGTCACAGCTCGAAGCCCCGAACATGCTCAAGAGCTTCATCAAGGTGGTGGTTTCATGCATCACACCATTCGACGTACGCGATCGAGTCGAGGAACAGATGAAGACAGTCCAAGCCAGCACCCTGGTGGAATTCTCCAAGATCCTGGCGGAACAATTGGAAAGAACGTACCCGGCGGAGTTAGTAATAAAATCACGGGGTGGCGAACGAAAGCGAGGGCGCGAATGGGATGAGAAGGGACAGCGAACTGGCAAGACCAGAGTCCAACTCAAGAACGAACAGTAACAACGTGAAGCGTACTATCAGAATGGCAACACCCCACGCCCGAAAGGCGGTTACACGGACCTCCTCGTGCTCAGGGAGCGACGGGAGGGCCGTCGACGAACAAGTATGGGACCCCAGCGGCAACGCGGCGTCCATTTGAAGACAGCCCAGCAAGGGAGCTAAGTATGGCCCCGGTCAAGACGACCGTGGCGCGCTATGCTTTGTCTGCCAACAACCGGGACACCGTGCACGCGAATGCCCAAACAAGAAGGAAGACTCAGCGCGAGCTGACCACCTTCGGAAGGGCAAGAAGTACAAGCAACGCAAGGCGGAATTGAAGGCGAAGCGAGCGGTCAAAGCCAAGATAGCTAAAGATGGCCGCGAGCAGCGATGGATTCGACTCAACGGAGTATTCGAAGTGCCCTACTGTCCCGATACTGGTGCCGACCAGAACGTTCTGCCCCAGCGGATGCTGGACGAGTTGATGACGTTACAGCCTGGCCTTATGATGGTGACGCTCAAGGAGCCGATGATTGGGATGGCATGCAACAACTTGCCCTTTCAAGCGAACAGTTACGTGGACTTGGCCTTGCAGCTGCAAACAGCAGCGGGCCCCGTGAAGGTCCCTGGCAAGCGGCGATGTTATGTAGTGGCGGAAGGCGACGAGTTCCTAGCGTCTGACGACACCCTCAAGGCGATTGGCATCGACATCGATAGGCTGTTGGAACAGATGGCGACTCTACAACTAGAGGATGACGGGGATGACTTGGAGGAAGATGGTGACACTCTAAAGGAGCAGTCCCATCGTTCTACCCTCCGTATCAAGGCAAACAAGGCCAAACTGCCCGAAGCCAAGGACGAAGTGGAAGCGGTCCTCCAAGTCCTAATCAACGAGGCCATCGATAACCAATTTCCAATCGGAAATGTGCAAGATTTGTGGCGTTTCCTTACAAAGCATGACATATGGCGGCTCAAGTTCGATGGATCTGACCCCCCAGGAAGGGTGAAACCATTGAAGGTGACCCCTAAGGATGGATGTGTTCCGTACCGATGTAAAGGTCGGAAGCACAACTTCCTTGAAGAGAGGTTCCTCAATTTGTTTGCCAAAGAACTTTGCGACGCGGGTGACATCAAGCGCAACCAGTAAAGCGCATGGTGTAGTGCGGTGAACCCCATCCTGAAGCCCGACGGCCACAAGACACTGAAGACAGCAGACCAGTGGACAGACGACGACATGTTAAAGAATTACCGTTTGACGAACGACTACCGGGTGGTCAAACTCGATGACCAAGCCCAAGGCCGGTACCATGCCGTTCCAAGCAACCATCCTCCAGAACCTGCGGGAGATGAAAGCTATGGGGGGTTTTGACCTGCCCAAATGGGACATGCTGTCGTTCATGCTCAATGGCTGCGTGTAAACCCCCGACAGGGTGATGCAGGGTCATGTGGACAGCACACTGTATGTGCAGTCCACGAACGAAGAGTGTTATCAAGACATGCTGTTTAAGAACATGCTGATCTGGATTGATGACATCTTTGTATACGCCGAGAACGTCGAGGTGTATGTGGTGGCACTCGAGAATTTCTTCGATCGAGTGGCGCACTTTGGTTTCAAGCTGATTCCGTCCAAAACCAAGCTGTACACACATGAGGTCAAGTGGTGTGGGCGCATTATCAGTGGTGAAGGCGTCAAGCAGGACCCGGAACGGATCCAGCACTTGTGTGCCATTGGGGGACTACCAACCCCTGCGCATATTATTTTGCTACTGGTAGCAAATGCGACATTTTTCGATTAAAAATTCTGGTAGCAAATTGCGGATAGGTCAAAACGGTCTCAGCAAAATACTACAGGTCTGTAGTATTTTGGACTCTACAAACAGATATAGAATTTTAGGATTCCTAAAAC